AGTGTACTTTCATAAACTTAAAGTGGGTCCATTTAGTCCCAAGAAGTATACTTGTTAGTAAACCGCTAGTACATTTGAATCAGTGTACTTGGTAAATAAAAGTACACTTGGGGAAATACTTTAGTATACTTAATAACATGTACTTGCGGTATACTTCTTTTTTGATCATTTTGTTTGGGAATCTGAGTTTCTTAAAACAACCTCTGATTAAAAGCTGAGGAAGGGGATATTGGAGTAAATTGCCTGTAATAAAACAGATAATGGAATCGGGGGTGGCGTCGGTTATAGATCTGAATGTTAGGATGACCAGTCAAACCATATTCAATACAAAAGCTTTGCGATGGGAGGACTCGAAGCGACACGCGACACTTCCGTCTCTTCTTCTTCCTATGTTTATTGGCGGTTTGCCAGCCAACTTAAGGTGCATTACCGTCACCTGCTGAGCGGGAGTGTGGAACAATAATAGAGGCGACGCTTCCGTTTCGAAGCACCGGACCGTATATGACAGCGGTCCACCAGTCACGTGATTGTTTCTTGGAATGGTTCATGTTTTGGCGGTTCGCCGCTAGAGACCGAAGGAACATACAACAGCTGATCTCGAGTCAGTTGATTCAGCTGACAGTTACACTACCCGAACAAATCCCCAGTCAGTGATTCGTGTTGCTTGGTGTGCCACGTCCAATGGACACAACCGAAGTCTGTGAAAATGGCCTCATTTTAAGGGGATTTGTGAAAGAGAGACAGAATGTTTTGTTTAAATGTTAGCCATGCTCATCTTGAAGGCATATGACAATAAATACCTCCTTATATATGGCGCATATCTATAAATCATTTATAGAAACGTTATGGTTGTCACACAGTTTATTTACACACAATGATATTGTGAAAATGACTCGAACACTGATAACACTCTTCCCCCTTCAATGTCCGGTCACAAAAGCGTTTGCCACTGCATTTACACATACACACATTTATTTCACAAAATTATTTTTAAAAATGTCTATGTCAATGAAACAGATCCGTCTTCTGAATCATTGAATCACTGGGTCTTTAGGCCCACTCCACCAGACTGACAAACAGCTTCATCCACCAGGCTGTGAGGATGCTGCCCCCTGCCCCTGGACCGTGACCCCCTGCCCCCTGCCCCTGGACTGTGACCCACCACAGAACATAAAAAGACTACCCCTGTTGTTTTCACAAACCCACTACATTCCCCCTTCTTGTTATATTACATGTAAATGTGTTGCTGACTGTTTTTACCATCATATCTGCTGCTGTTGATCATTTGCACTACTGTCCATGTGCATCTCAGTCTCATAACCAAGTGACAATCTTCTTGTTATTGTTTGCACCACGGTCAGTGATTGGACAGGGTTTGAGTCATAGCCTATTAGGTTGTACCGTTTAGATTGATCCTAATCACTTTGACTTAGTTTTCTTATTCTTTTTATTCTATTTTACTCTACTTTTATTCTATTTTAGTTTCCTAAAATGGAACTGCGACATCTCTACTGGTCTGCGATACTAAACCGACGGGAATGTAAATAAAAGTCAAGAACAAGTACATTTCTGACATACTTGTTGTTTATTCTTCTACTCCACTACATTTCAGAGGGAAATACACATTTGTCTGACAGCTCGAGTTCCTTGTTACTCCTCAAATTCTAGAGTTTACACCTTAAACAAATGCTGTTTATAAAAAATGGCTTTAATGTTATGTGGTCAGTTTTTATATAGTTTTTGACCCCTTAAACTTAAATTGTGCAAATAATTAAAATGCCATCATATTATAATTATAAATGTATTATTTCCATCAACACTGATACTGGAAATTAGCAGAACATTAAATGATCGTTTTACTGCATATACAAACAATTTTAAGTTAAATAAAAATGAACATTTTATATACGCCTCATACACCTGCTAAAGTAGGCTCTTGGCAATAGTCATGTGTCAGTATTAGTCCTGTTCCATAAAGAGAAAACTTTGAGTTTCCTTACTAGTTTTCTCCAGAGCTTTGTCAGTTCAAGAATTTATCAAAATGGTGACCAGTGGTGGAAAGCAACAATGTACATAGACTGAAGTACTATACTTACAGTTCTGAGGTGTTTGTACTTCACTTGAGTACTTCCATGGCCTGCTCCTTCATCCTGTGACTTCATGTCAGAGACAAACCGTGTACTTTTTACTACACTACATGTACCTGATAACTTCAGGTCCAGAATCAGATGAATCAAACCAAACCCAGTAGAACCATCAGACTCTATTGATCCCAGTAGGAAATCCACCAGCTACCCAGCAGGATGGAAAGTACTTCCCAGTATAAGTATATAAGGTAGTTACCATCAGCTCCACCTTTACCAGCTGCAGCATTAAAGTGATGGACACAGTAATTAGTCACTATGATCCAGTATCAGAGACGTTACTGGGACACGGGCCGTTCTGCTGGACGAGTGCTGGTACTGATGGTACTTCAATTATATTTGGAAGCTGATACTTTTACTTAACAATGTGAATGCAGGACCTTTACTTGTAACAGAGTGTACACTGTGCCACCTTTACTTGAGTAAAGGACCTGAGTACTTCTTCCACCTCTGCCTTTAGTAAAGGACAACCTGAAGTTAATGACTTAAGGGTTGTTTCAAGAGGCTCAGGGATCAAGTTTGAATCTTGTCTCATTAATAACAACCTTAAACATTAATTAAACCTCTGGATTCCCCACCAGGAAATTTCAGACAAACCCTTAAGTGTCTGAAACTATGGGATATTTAATGAAGACCTGATGTGAATCTGCAGTGTGTGTGCATGAAACCAGCAGCGGCCTGCGGCATAGCAGAAAAAGCTTTTATTTAGTTTGCTGGCTGAAGTCGCTCGACTCCAACAAAGTAACCAGAAAGAACATTATCAAACATCAACAATATGAATATAGGATTTGTCAAAATTACAGCAGCACAGGGAGCTGGAACATCAGACACCCCTGGATTCGTGCAGTCATCTTGACAACAAACAAAAGTAACAATGTCCTTTTTAAAGACAGAAAACAGAACAGGTGACAAAGTCTTTGCTTAGCAAATGATGCGACAGTCAGCCTATAATCAAATGATCGACCAGTTATTGCAATGATATTTGGAGGCTGATGTCAGACTTTACAGACACAACACACCAACAGTTTCCTCAGATGCATAGAAACATCCGACTGATGTAAAAAAAAACTTTTACTCAGAGTTAATCTACATCTGAAAGGTTACAGAAGAAGTGCTGCATTTTAAGTTTCTATTTTTCTTTACTCTCAAATGAAGGCAGCCTCCATTGTAAAAATAAGTTGAGGCAGAACATGTGATGAACAGAGAACAGAGTTTAAAATACATACAAAATGACAAATGAGAGGTGGACGAGCCGTCTCGCTTACGAACCCCTTTATTGGTCAAGAACGAATCCACAAAGCAGCAGCAGCAGAAACACAAACATTTTACTCTGTGAAAGACACTAAAACTAAACTAACAGACCTCCTCTGGAAAAGATCTTTCAAGTGACACCGAAACCACCGGATCCAGAACCAGGCCAGAGCTCAGGCGGGTCAGTGCGGAAGAGACGTCCGTCCACAACGAGAGGAAACTGTTCTGAGCTCAAAGTTACAATCGTGAAATCTCAGTTTCAATTTTAAGTCTGAATTCTGAAACTCAGTCAAATTCAAGAAGAAACAAAATCAAAGTGGGATTAAAGTGGTTTTAGACTTCTGAAACTGGTAGTAAACCAGTTCAGACAAGTGAGTGAAAAGTCAAAACAGACTCAGAATTTAACAATTAAACCCAGAACTTGTTTTCTTGAGCCTCGTCTTCCCTATTCTGACTCAAAACAACACAGAAGGTAAAATGCAGAAAGTGGACAAGCAAGTGCAGCCGTGTTTGGGGTGGGGGTGTTGCGGTGAAGGAGGACATCCCTTCTGATCGTCTCTCACCCTTCCAGATGATCTGCAGTAGCATCAGGGGTGGGGAACGAGCATGTCGGGGTTAGACTCGTCCTCTCTCTTCCCTCAGTGCTGGAGGTTTTTATTTTCGCACCCCACTCAGTCAAAGGGGTTGAAGTCCCTCTCCAGGTTCTCAGACTCATCATCATCGGAGAAGAAGTCATCCTCGTCGATGTCGTCCTCATCATAGTCCTCATGCCACTCAGGGACGTACTCCTCGTCGTACTCGTCGTCCTCGTCGTCCTCGTCCTCCGCCTCCTCGCCGCCCTCCTCACCTGTGTAGTTGTTGTTGTCCGAGTCTCTGGACAGGGACGCTCGGTCTGACTTGGACCTGAAAGACAGTTTTAATATTTTGTAAACAATTTATCAAGGGAATTATCTGCAGATTCACTGAAAGTGAAACTACTCACTCTGCAACAAAAGTCATTTTAAATCAAAAATGCAAAGAACTCTCTGGCTCCAACTTCTAAAATGTAAACACTCTTATTTACTTCGTCTTCTGTGACCATAAACCGAGTACACTAATTAGACGTTTGAACGTGTGAACTTGGACCGCGGGTAATATCAGTTACAGCTGCAATGCTCAGCTGATTGATCGATTAGTTGGTTGTCAGAAAATTAATCTGCAACTCTGATAATGGATTAGGGTCATTCTTCTGGCTCCTGGAGTTCGGAGTGGTGCTCACACTTTGTTGGCGTCAGTGTGGTTGGACAGGTTGGACGCCTGAGTCGACTCTGGCTCCTGGCTGCTCTTGGACTGGTAGCCCACCCTGAAGTCCTGGATCAGGCAGACACAGGAAACTCAGCGACACAGGAGTGAAGAAAGCACAGACACAGAGACTCAACCATTCAAACACTGGTCACCTGGGTGGAGTGCTGCAGGATGACCAGAAGGCGATCCTGGATGCGTCGGATCAGTTCCAGCCCAGTGTTCAGGTGTTCTGGTTTCAGCAGACGGACACAGGAGGCCAGGTCGGTGCACTGGAGCAGAGTCTCCTCTGCGAACACAGATCACACCGGTCAGACTAGTGCAAACTGGAGAAACTTGATTTGTAACAGTGTGAGCGTGATGTCTCACCCAGCAGGATCTGCAGGGCGTTGGTGTGCAGGTCGAGATCCTCCGCCTGCTGCTCCATCACATCCATCTTCTCTGTCTCCTGGTTGTAGTAGCTGTAGACGCAGGAGTAGGCCAGCACCTGCAGACAAACGAGCAGGGTCCACTAAACACATGTACACCATCCAAGAGTAGCAGAGGTCTCTCAGCAGTACCAGGTTCTGACCTTTCGAGCCTGAGCAAGGACTTTACAAGCGTCGATGACGAACGTCAGCGACTTCATCTGCAGAGCTTCATTAATGGATGACACCTTGTTTTCCAGGTTAATGGCAAAGTCCTGCAGGCGACACAGAGACTGTCAGTGGGACTCATCAGCACAAAGAACTCAAAGGTGATGTGCGGGCTGATATCTCTGCTGTGTTCAGAGCTTAACTGTAATTAACAGCAGGACACTGCCTTCCGCTACAAGACCCTGTCTACGCTACACTGGGTGTGCTCAGTTTCTTCATGACCTCTGACCCTCATTCCACGGATGGTTCACTAAACTGGCCCACTGGGCTCAGGGCCGGTGACTTGACGGGTCAGGGGCCCCTAGACCAGGAAAACTGTGAAGGGGCTGATAATCTTTCCACCGGAAAGTCAATCAACAACTAGAGAAGCCACCAAATGAGAAAAGACAGACACAAAACCACACACAAAAAAGCCAAGCTGAAATACTGTAGGTGCAAGACAAGTAAAATGGCTGAGAACAGACAAAACAACCACAAGAAGACAAAAACTGACTACAAATCACATGGCTGCTCAATCTGCAAGTCTTGTTCCTGGAGGCGTAGAGGGTGGGGCACGAAACGTTACTCCTTAACAGTTTTCCAGCCCTGCAGAGACCCTGATACCCCAACCATGGTCTGCAGCATCAGGTCAAGAGTCATTTCTATCCCCTAATATTAGTCTCAAGAGGTTTTCCAATCAGAACAGCACTTAACGCCATCTGTCCTGAGACATGGGTGGTGCTGTACCTTGGCCTGATGGTGGAAGGTGCATCTCTCATTATAATCCTGGAACTTCTTCTCCTGGCGTGCTGCTTTACTCACCTGGAGGAAAAACAACAGCTGCATGGCTGACTCAAAAACACACCAACACAGCTGGATTATTGTTACATGGATTGCATGTGATCACGTGATCGCGTGTGAGCAAACCATGGCGGAGCAGTTGTAGTAATCTTTGTGTGTTGGCTTCCAGGGTTTCAGACATCGCCAGCAGAAACCGTGGTTACACTTGGCACAGGTCATACTGTGGACAGAAGAACACAAACATCACCATCATCATTCTCCTCAGTGTGTACTGTGTGTGTGTGTGTGTGTGTGTGAGAGAGTGCACATACTGCAGGCAGCCTTCGTTCTTCTCGATCTGAGCCTGACAGCTCGGGCAGCGTTTGGAGATCAGCTTGGCGAGATGTTTGCTCTGGGCCTCCATGCTCATCCCTTCATAATAGCCCCCGTCATCCATCCACTGGGACATGTGGCTGCAGCTGGCTGGGTAGTGTGCCTGGAGAGGGGGCGCACAGGTACGAAGACAACTACAGGTTCAGGTCCAGGAAACACTTTTTCAAACAGAGAAGCTACATGCTGAAGATGTCGGTCTGCATGTGGTAAGGAACATAAATCCTCACACCAAAGCTTGATGCCTGGTGAAAGTGCTTAGTTTAGATGATAATGTGCATTTGAGACAAGTTATATAAGGGATATAACTTAAGGGGTCACTTAAATTTAAAAGTTCATGTTATACGTACAACCAAAAAAAGATTTTGTATTTCTATAAGTGGGGTCAAATTATGGAATAATTTAAGTGTGGACATGAAAAACAGTACTAGAACTGAGGAGTTTAAATATAAATATAAATGTATGTGTTATACAAGATATATGCAAGAATAAGAGATTTAATCAAGAATGCATGAAGGAAACACTCTGTTTTATCTATGTAGAGATACTGCTTGCAGCCAATGATGCATGAAATTTTGTATAAGATGATGTCATGGGGTAGGACTGGATAAGTCTGACTTCTTCCTACTCCATTCAAACATGTAATAGGTGTAAGCAAACTGATTTTGGATTAGCAGTGGTTGGATATGTGTAATTATGTGTGTGTTGTCATTTGTTCATTTGTTCTGTTCTGTTCTGCATGTTTGAAAGAATAAATCAATCAAATCAAATCAAGTTTACCCCAGAATTTATCCCAGGATAAAAACCAGGTTTTTACCTGCCGTAACCAAATTGACATGAATCGATTCTGGACTTTGTCAACAGCTTCGTGTAAGAAGTGTGTGTGCGAGGCGACCTCTGACCTCAGGGAAGTTGCAGCTGAAGCAGGATGACCAGCAGCACTTGGAGCAGGTTCCTATGCTGCCCATGTTCTCCTTGCAGAGGATCTGATCGCAGCCCTGAGGGTTGGTGCACCACGTCAGGTTGGAGCAGCACTCCACGTAGCCGCGGAGCAAGGCGCTCTCATACTGAGGAGGATGAGGACAGGGGTTAGCTCAAACCCACTTCTCTGAAAAACTGCATGCCTTCTTCTGTGTTAGAAACCCAACATGGAGGAACCAGACAGCAGCAGCGGTGGCGTCTGCTTTGCTTCAGATCTCACACTGAAATCATTGTTGCAGTAAACCTGAGCAGACGGTGACTGGTCTACTCTTCTCATTCCTTGTGTTAACTTGCGCTATCTGAACTCTTACCTTCACACTGTGGACTGATCGGTCACAGTGTGGCGCTCACACTAAACATGGAAACGTGCCCAGAGCCGAGCGGTCAGTTAATCAGGGGGACTCGGATCAAACTGGTTGTTAAACAGCAGCTTTGAAGACGAGCGGCATTTGACTTTTGATTAGCCAACTGGTTATTAATTGAGAAAATGATTCGTGATGAGATAATCATTAGTAGAAGCTCTGAGTCTATGAACAGCCTCCAGAGCAAAATGTTTCTGCTTCCTGTTTGTCGACACCCCCTGAAGTCAGGCTGTCATGGTGACAGAGGATGGAGGTGCTTACCTTGCCGATGGTGTCCTTGTCAGTGAGGATGTTGAGAAAGAACTGGGAGGTGGGCTGAGCTGGGCAGTCTGTGATCGGACAATGGCAGTTCATGATCAGGTTCTGCTCGATCCTCACTGTCAGGTAGTCCTGCCAACATGACTGTGACACCCACTGACAGTCAAACAGAGGTCACACAACACATCTCAACATGCTGAGCACAGCTTGGATGGATAACTGACCCTGCAGCAGTAGTGCATACAGCTGAGTGATGGGACCGGCTCTGAGGAGGCGGTCCGGGGTCCCAGACAAACCGGGCAGGTGGAGGTGGGGCTCGGTGGAGGCTGAGGGTTTCGGCACTTTAGCCCAGCGGCCATGATGAGGGCGTCGGGGTCATCGGCGTAGCGCTGCACTAGCAGGTCCACATTCCACTTGCAGTGAACCAGCAGGTGCTCAGCCCAGTCCAGGTCCAGACTCAGAGTCCCTGAAACCTGAGGGGACAGAGAGAGACGAGATTACCCTGACACTCATTGTGCGAACAAACAATAACTTTCAACAGAGGGGAAAAAAAAAACGTTTCAACACCCAGAAACAAAACATGGTCCCTGCACCTGAAAGCCACTGTGAGGAGCTCGACATTTGCTGTCCTGTGCCTGCCGGTCTGGTTCAGGAGCTGACCGAACTGGCTCACTTCTCTGTCAGACACTTGAATCTAAAAGATTTTATTGACAGAAGAGTCTGACCTGCTGGACGGTCCTCTGCATTAGCTGACGAACTTCCTCCTGTGTCATCGTCCGACCCATCGAGAACACAACTCCATCCAGGATGGCGTCCTCAAACAGCCGTGGGGCCGGCGCCAGACTGCAACACAGAGACAACCCCAGATATAAAGTACATGATACAGAGTTATGATCGAAGCCACACCGGGGCAGAGTTTAGGAGAAACAATTCAGTGTTGAAAACATCAAGTTGTTTTCTCCGTTACACTGTTGAACTGGACAACGTGCTGTTAATTCATTGTCTGGCAACACACACCAACTTGCACCAAACCACAAAAAGCATCCCAGAAGATTATTAGACACCTGTATTAAAGATTTCCATGTCATTTCATTTAAAAGTAGTTTATCACAAAACCACAACTTTGAGCACAATGTAAAAATGCAGAGTCTATAAAGTGCAATTCAACAGAATTTGTGGCACAGCCCTTTAAAACACCATAAAATAAAGAAACTGACTAAAAGAAGGAAGCACATGAGGATGACGATGGAACATGCTGCTCTGAGACACGTATTAACAAAGACTTTTTTGAATTAATTGAAGACAAACAGGAAACAGCTTCTTTTGCCTGTGTCTGAAACACTAAATGAACTTTAATAACCCCAGACAGACAGAGCCCTGTGTGTAAGGTCACACCTAATGTCGGCCCGGCTCTTGGTGGCACCGGCAACGGCATCCTTCCTGATCTCGGTCCGGCTGAAGGAGAACTGGGCCTGGCCTTTCTGTGGTGTGGACGGGTCCTCGGGGACAAACTCTACAATGTGTGGATTGTCTTCGTTGCGGCGGATGCAGCCTTTGCTGATGACGTGCATGATGCAGGAGAGCACGTCACTGTTACTGCAGCTGAAACGGCCGGTTCCCGGGGACCGAGACGCTTCCTGTTTCTGACACGAGTCCAGAACCTGAAGGAGACCAGAACAAACCGAGGATTTGGTGCCATGTGAGGAAAGACTGACAGGACTTTGAGCTTCCGTAATGCCAAAGAAATACTTATAGTGCATTATAGAGAAAACAATACGATTCTCCAGCTACAGTTCCCATGATGCTTTGAGGGCTGCAACATTGGTCAAACTCAGTCAGCAAAAGTGTACATATTTAGATTAAGCTAAATGAATTTGAAATGCCCGTGGCCTGCTCATTTTCAGCCATTTAAGGATTAATCTTGGGTACCTCTAGATTAGCTTGGCACCCCTCAACTCCAAATAATCTGTAATCATCTTAGAACAATAAACCCAAAGAGCCTCTTCGTAAAAATGAGAGGCTAGTTTGTGAATGCACACAGCTACTGTTGTGTTGCAAGCAGACAGTTGTAGATAAGTCAGAAAACAAGGAAAAGCATGCCATGAGCTCCTTAGACTTGATGAGGCTTTAAGGATCAATCCAATAGACTCATTAAAATTCCATCTTCCCTTTCATGGCTTTTAAATGAGAACTACTGACCGAGTGGTCAAATCAAATCCATTCAGAATTTCATTCACTGATTCATACTCTGCTACAGGCTGGTGGAAGGAACGGCACTATGAATATATAAGGCCCAATCTTCTGATCTCTCCACGTCAGTGAGGCTGTGGCCCCGTAAAGAAAAGTAGTGGGACTGCTCCTTTTGCGGCTCTGTGACCTCTGACCTTGAAGACCAGGTTGTCGATGTGCATCTCCTTCTCCTGCTTCATGATATGGACAATCAGACAGTAGACGTAGTTCCTCTTCCTTTCCAATGTGCCGGCCACGTCCTCGTCCACGTTCAGGTAAGTCTGTCTGGGCAGCAGCTGCACTGACAATGGTTCGCCATCCAGACTGTGAGACGCCACCTGCTGGTTTAATTGCAGCACACCTGCAAGCAGACAAAGACTGAGTCAAACAGGAGAAGGAGGAGGATGAGGATGAAGGACAGATGGTGTTGTGCGTGTGTATCTGACCCTCGCTAGGCTTGTTCGGCTGGCTGCAGATCAGCGGTCCTCTCTCGGTGATGAGCGGCATCAGAGCATGCAGCAGGACAGCAGGAGACAGACCGGTCACCTGTAGCAAAGCCTCAACTCGTACCTCCTGCAGGGGTGCACAAAGAGCTGACAGTCGGTGAACACGAGGGGGAGCTCAAACCCTAAAAAGACTGCAAATTCAATTCAGCGCCAAATCACACCAGAAGTCATCTCACTTTACAAAGTAAGGTCTAAACCTTTTATCACTATAAAAGAGGAACAACCCAAGAAATCCCCCTTCAGCAAGCACTTTGTGGAAAAACTCCTCTACAGTTCATTTTCCTGTGCGTTTTGTCCCCCGTCGTTTACATTGGAAGCACATGATGTAAAAAAAATAAAAAAAGCATTTCTATGAAATTTATTTAAGGACAGAGCAGTGGTTTTATATGTTTTAGTCGCTCTCACTTTCTACAATGTCTGACATAAGAGTCATGGCCTCCCATGTTTCCTGAGGAGAAAACCTGCCCCCCAATGCAGTGGTGTGACTCACTGCGGGGTTTTAATAGTTGCTGGAAAACAAAGAAGGTCTATGGCACCGAGCAATAAGCTGAACCAGGGTCTGGATTTAGGTCTTTGTCATGTCTCTTTAAATGATGGCAGTTTGTGTGTTTGTGTGTGTGTGTGTGTGTTACCTCGTGACTATTGAACTGCAGCAGGATGAACATCTGCAGTGTGGAGACATGCAGTGTCCAGCAGCCAAACTGCAGCTCAGCGTGACCGAGCCATGTCCATTGCAGCCGCCGAGGCTTCGAGTGACTCAGACCATACATGGACTGACCTGACAGAAACACTGAGTTAGTGCTAAGAACTGAAGTGCAAAACACTCCACCACCACAGAAGAAAAACAGGGTGTGAAGATCAGTACTCAGATTCCTCTGGTTCAGAAGAGAAATTAACAGTTTATGGCAGAGTTAAGCCTGGTTTATAACAGAAAAACCCGGTTGAAGCTTTACTTACCTGGTTTAAAAGAGAAATACCACTAGTTGAACCTTCAGCAGAGTATGGTTAATAACAGGTTTAAGCCCAGGTCTGGTTTAAGACCAAATTAAGCCTGGTTTATTGGAGAAATAAGATTGGTTTAAGATAGAGTTAAGCCTGTTTTCCAACAAGAAAAATAAGTAAGACTGGCTTAAGCCTTAGTTAAGCCTATTTTATCAGAGACAAAGGAACAGTTTAAACTAGTGCTGTCAACCGATTAATTTATTTTAATCGCATTATTTCCATGGTCAACAAAAGATTAATCGCACTTTTTTTATTTTATTTTTTTGCCGTTCTAAACAGTTGCAGAAAGTAAGCAAGTGAATTTACTCAAATATTGCACTTAGGCACAATTTTGAGTATATTCATTTTCTCTTACTTTGAGGTCACAATTTAGCAAATATTGTACTTTTTAAATCCACTACATTTATTGTACAACTTTACTCACTGGTTACTTTTCAGAACCATATTAATACAAAAAAATGCAGTACAATAATAAGACCTTATTGGTGGATAAGTCACGAGCTTGACAGTTTCCTGTGCTGCTGATATGCTTTTGTGGCGCTCTTCCCTTGCCATGATGACTTCCGGCGAGTGTTCCTGCCGTGGGTGTCTGACTGTGATCTTCGCAGCTGTGGGTGCCTAGCGGCGAGCGCTCCTGTCTACTCACCTGTCCGTCCTGGTCCTCCGACTCTCCTGGTTGCCGTTGTTCTGTGTGCTCACCTCCTCGTCTTGGTCTCCTCAGTCATCACTGCCCTACCCTGGTTATGACCTATACATATACTCAGTTACTTGGTTTGCGTTTTCAAATAAACCACCTTTTTTCCCCCACTAGTACCTGGGTCTGTATCTCGAGTCCTCCCTTTTGTTCTCCCTCACCTCCTGATGAGGGGACTCAACCGTGACAACGAGCTACCCAGCAGTAATTCTAATTAAAACTATCTTCCTGTTTACCAGCTGCAACATTAAATGTCATGTACACAATAATGCAACAGTAAGTACAATACAATAATATTGTACTTACTGGAATGTGAAATGTGCTACATAATGAGTGCTTTTACTTTTAGTACTTTGTTTTGATGCTAATAATTGACTTGACGTCTGTACTTTCACATAACATTTGGAATGCAGGACTTTTACTTGCAGCAGAGCATTCTTACATTGTTGTATTGCCATTTTTACTTTCTTCATCCACTGGTTCTAAATGCACCTCAAAGGGACCCCGAGGTAATTGTGATTACAGAGAAAGTCCAGTGGTCTCCGCTGAGCCGACTGCTTTTGTCTGTCCCAGCGCGTCCTCTGCTTTAGCTTTTTCGTTTTCATACACGTTGTGTATCTTGGTTAAAGCGGTGGCTCGTGAAGGCAGTTCATACGCGCCCTCTTTGGATGTGATGTGAGTTATTTTAATCCTCGTCCTCTACAGTGTTCATCGTGGTCTGCCTTTGGCAAGGTGGAGGATGGCCCTCTGCATCAGCTGTGTGCTTGGCCAGCAGGTGCTATTTGGGAATTGACGTACTCCGATGGTAACTCAGTTCACATCGACAGTAAATGCAAATAACTGTGGTCTTGTTGAGAGACCATCTGGCAGGGCTTTGAAGCTGAACTTGCCGCTCAAAACACCCTTTTCTTTATCGGTTTCTGCTGCTACATCGCTTCCCGATTTCCCAAACTATGGGGCGGGCCGAGGGTCATAATCCCAGAATGTCTGTTAGTCTCACGTCAAAAAAATTAGTGGCGTTAAAAGGAATTTGTGTTAACTTGTCGCATTAACTTTGACAGCCCTAGTTTAAACCCAAGTTAAGCCTGGATTAGAACTGAACTGGTACTGACTGTGGATGTAGAACTGGGTGAACTGGTTCAGGTAGGAGCAGGGTTCGGCTGCAAAATGTTTTGGCGGTTCGTCCAGAAAGCAGAACGAGGAGACAGCCCAGCAGCGTGGAGAGAGAACCAGGACCTGGACCTCCGCCTCCTCCTCTGACTCTGCCCACTCCTCCTCCATCATCTATGGCAACAAGAAAAGGACAAATTGTATGAAAACCACATATTCAAACAAAAAGTTGCACGCGAGAGCAGTCAAGTTTAGGATTACATTAGTTTTATGTACTAATTTTACTCATACCTGACAAAAATAAAATATTTATTCATGATTTTCCTTTAAAGCTACATTAAGTAAGGCTTAGCACAAATTCAGATAAATCAAGAAATGGTCTAGAAGTGTTTTCTCCCTGTTGTTCCAACCCCTCCCCCCACTATATCTTCAGGCCTTTTGTTTATTTATTTCCCTCTTTAACCACTATTGTTGAAAGCCACGCTACACATCTTCCACACCCTCGCTAGTAAAATGGTTTTTCAAACCACTACGGCTCATTTCAAAAATGGACCGTAGAGGGTCCCTGTGCAGGTCCAACCCAGGATGGGAGCGTACCTGTTAGACCCAAGAGGCGGCTCTGTGCAGCACAGGAAAAGGGTGACAATGAACGAGGCGAAGCCAGGGTTAGCATGGGTTTGGCATGTCAGAGATGGAGCACTAACTTGTCCAGTTAGCAGAAACCTGCACAGTTACCAGTCCATTTAGTCCATGTGTGTGAGAAGTTGTGTTAAACACAACTAGAAAAGTGGGGCGTTTGTTCAAAGCGAAACATGAAATATCTGATTATGTGTGTCAAGTATGTAACACTGAACATGATGCGATAGCGGCAGGAACATTAGTACTGTATCAAGATTACAGGGGAAAAACATTCCTCTGTATAATTTGCTTGTGCTACTGCAGATACATCTGCTACAAACTTTAGATGCACGTTGATGCATATTGCTAAAATTTAGACCTTTTTATTTGACACTGTCGCTGCAATGCCACTGAAAACTACAGGCTCTTTAATCCGACTGCCACAGCTGTCCCCGGCTGCCATGGCCTCACATGATGTAGTTTCAGAGTCAGTGCAGGAGGGGCAAAGGGGAGGGGATACTGCTGGAGTTGGTTTGGACTCACTTTGCCCTTAACAGTCAAAAGCTAGAGAGAGAAGTTAGTTAATTCCGGTTTTAAAGCAAAGAGATCAGTCTTCAGGTTAAAGTTCTTGCAAATACTGAACAGTGGAGGCAAAAAAAAAAAAAAAAAAAATTCCATTTTAATGTTGTGGAGAAGATTGTAGCTAAGCTGATAATGATGGCAATCACTTTTATTGGCCAAGTATGTTTCACACAAAGGAATTTGTCTCTGGTACAGAACCAAGGAGGCCATCTGTGGCGCCAACTCTCTCTCTCTCTCTCACACAACAATGGTGGCGTTAACTTGGCGTTCTTGCCCAAAGACACTTCGACAGGTGGACTGCAAGCACTGAGATCTGAACCTTCAACCTTCCGGTTGGGAGACAACTGCTCTACCCACCGCACCACTGGCAAGCAGCTTCAAATACCTGGGCGTCCACATCAGTGACGACCTCACTTGGACACTTAACACCACACAGCTGGCCAAGAAGTGAAATGCAGGACATCTAGGGTCAAAGGTTCAAGATTCAAAGTGTTTATTTGTCATATCCAGACTGAAACATTTGTCTGAAACCTTTTGTAGCAGCAGGCAGAGTCACACACCTGTTTGCTTTTAAACTCAGTGAGCTTGAGAGGGTTTTGTGGGTTTGCGCTGACCTGGTCATTCTCCTGCAGGCGTCGGTCCAGCTGCTGCAGGCGGTACAGGTGGAACTCCTGCTGCAGCTCAGCCGACTCGCTCAGGTTCTTCAACATCTGCTGAGGAAAGCGACTTGGGAAGCAGCTGCCAATCTGATCGATCACAGCGCTCTCCAGCCACACGTTCCCCTGAGCCAGCAGCCGGTCGCCCAGGTAGTACCTGAGGAGAGAGAGAACCAGTTATTTCACACGTTCCAGCACTCATGGACTCATGCTGCTGTGTTAGACAGTCAGGCTTTCTGTTATCACTCTGGTATCTCACAGTGCTCTGACCTGTAAAAGTGTTCAAAAGTGTTGGCAAGCTCCAGGCCCGACAGAAAGAGCATCGGCTCCAGAAACTGCTGCAGTCGCTCCAGAGTCTCCACACTGCCGGACGCCGTTCCGCTGGCCTGGATCATCTGATCGATGTACTGAGCAAAACGCTCACTCACCTGCACACACCATCATCACACTGTACACATCAACTAAACCCTGAGTATAACCTGGGCCAAAACCTGGGCTATAAGTAAAACAGCAGTTTCCAGTGCATTTTGATAAGAATGTACTGTGATGGGGGGGTGCTCCGGGAGTACGGGGTCCAGGGCCCTTTGCTAAGGGCTGTCCGGTCCCTGTACGACTGGAGCAGGAGCTTGGTTTGCATCGCCGGCAGTAAGTCAGACTTGTTTCCAGTGCATGTTGGACTCCAGCAGGGCTGCCCTTTGTCACCGGTTCTGTTCATTATTTTTATGGACAGAATTTCTAGGTGCAGCCAGGGGCCGGAGGGAGTCCGGTTTGGGGACCACAGGATCTCGTCTCTGCTTTTTGCAGATGACGTTGTCCTGTTGGCCCCATCAAACCAGGACCTCCAGCGTGCACTGGGGCGGTTTGCAGCGGAAGGATGGAACGGGAGAGTGACAGGCGGATCGGTGCAGCTTCTGCAGTAATGCGGTCAATGTACTGGTCCGTCATGGTGAAGAAGGAGCTGAGCTGCAAAGCGAAGCTCTCGATTTACTGGTCAATCTACATTCTGACTCTCACCTATGGTCATGAGCTTTGGGTCATGACCGAAAGGGCAAGATCCTGGATACAGGCGGCCAAAATGAGCTTTCTCCACAGGGTGGCCGGGCGCACCCTTAGAGATAGGGTGAGGAGCTCGGTCACCTGGGAGGAGCTCAGAGTAGAACCGCTGCTCCTCCACATCGAGAGGAGCCAGCTGAGGTGGCTCGGGCATCTGTTTCGGATGCCTCCTGGGCGCCTTCCTAGGGAGGTGTTCCGGGCATGTCCCACCGGGAGGAGGCCCCGGGGAAGACCCAGGACACGCTGGAGGGACTATGTCTCTCAGCTGGCCTGGGAACGCCTCGGTATCCCCCCGGAGGAGCTGGAGGGAAGTCTGGGCATCTTTGCTTAGACTGCTGCCCCCACGACCCGGTTCCGGATAAGCGGAGGAAAATGGATGGATGGAGCTGTGATGTCATCCTATCAATTAGGAGCTTTTATAATCCAGTGTTAAACCTGAGTTATCAGCATATCTCTGAGGACAGAGAGCTGAACTAAGACAAGGTTAAGTCGGAGTTAAACCAGAATTAACTTCTGAGAATGGAAAGTTGGTCAAACCCATGTTAAACCTGGTTCCTGATCTAAGCATGGTTTAAGCCTGAGGAAAATCTGGGTTATAACAGAATTAAGATTAGTGGGATCTATTTCTAGGCAGGATTTATGTGCTTGGCCCTAGGGTTAAAAAAAAAATCCAGAAATCTGGATTTAGCCAGGTTTTATTCTGTTGTAAATCTGACCTTACTGTACATGCATGGCTCTAAGGATTAAGAGCCAGGTTAAATCAGAGTTAATCATGCTGTTGAGCAAAACCTACATGCATGGCCCTGAGGATGGACAGCTGCAGCAGTGCAGCAGAGAAGCCGTGTCGAAGGGCGAGGACAAAGGCGGTCTGCTGTCCGAATAGCTCCTCCATGGCCTTCTTCAGCTGCAGGTACAGAGCCCGGTAACGCTCCACGAAGTCCGGCAGACTGCAACTCGAGTCCAGAAACTTTTTCACCTGAGGGGGGAGGGGTCATTGATGAACACCATATTTTAAGAAAACAATTTTCACCAAAAACATCCGAGGCAAATATGAGGATACATCAGAGACATTGAATTTACACTCCAGTTTTAAAGTGACTGTGGCCTACCTGGCGCTGTACCACTCCCTGCCAACAGAGGGCAATGCCTGCTATGCTGCTGCTGCTCTTCACTTTGGGCTTGGCTGAGGAAGAGGAGGAGGAGGAAGAGGCTGCAGCGGTGTCTCTGTTTTTGCCCTCTTTACCATCTGAAGACAAATTTAAAAAGGTAAATTTTCTGAATAAAGATCATGACTGACAAGCGTGTTCAGAGAAACAAAACAAATGAAAACAGCAGCCAAAAACAAAGATAAAGCCGTGCGTCTGTTCTGTCCTTCTTTTCCATCTGAAAAGAAACCACATAAGTGTCATGGGCTGCAATGAGAACAGAACATCTGCAGTAAAAGTAAGCTCAGTCCAAACAGAAAGAAAAAAGATGGAGTGTAGACATGTCCTGATGACTTCAGATTTGGCTGTCTGAAGCCGAATGTTTCAGTCAGTTCAGATGAGGAGGAGAAAGTGTCGCCCCCTGCTGGAGGTTTAAGTCAAAAACCATTTATAAGATTACATGTTATTAATGGAATGTAATCTGCAATGTTTAATCCTGTCAAATGTTTTTCCCCCAGTGACAAATTTATTTTCATACACAATGTGAAAATACAAGTTGAACCTTTATGAACAAATAGAATGTTTTACAACCTTTTAGACTGTCTCTTTAATAATTAGGTAGAATTAGCTTTATTTTATTGTCGTAACATTGTGACAGGTACAACGAAATTTTGTTTGGAGCCGAGGGCCTCAGGCCACTGCGTACATACACGCCGCCATCACAGGCAACTTAGGGGGTTCAGTGTCTCGCCCAAGGACACTTTGACATGTGGACTGCAGGTACTGAGGTTCAAACCTTCAACCTTCCGTTTGGGAGACGACTGCTCTACCCACCGCACTGTCGCCCCAGGTACGAAGCTATCGGCAACAGAACACTGAATTAGTTTGCAAGGCTGTTCAACCTATTACAAATGGTAACTGCTGATAAATGCCACTGTTTCTTACAAACAACAGATCTTAATTGACTGGAACTATTTAAAGCTACATAAGTCACATGACCTGCTTCCATTTTTGACCCCTTAATGTCGCAGCTCTTCTATGTTAGTGTTCCATTTTGTCTCAAACATACGCATCCTGTTGCCACAAATACTCACTACAGACCAAAATGTGGATTCATCCGCCAATGAAAATAGTCCAAAACAAATCACTTTCCTCTTCTTTGTTTGAGAAAAAAAAAGTTTTAGCTTTTTTTCTATTAAACGCATATTTGTGAGCTGCTTTTAAATATTTATATATTCAGTATTGGAACAATGTTCACATTCAGATTTTTAGAAGCCTTCTTGTCAACAGAGAATGACTGGCCAGACTTTAGTAGTTCAGGGTAAAACAGCAGGGGGCGACGTGATGACTTCCTGTCCTCGTTTGGGCATATGAAATGCCCCAGAGCAAAGTGTAAAACAAACAAAAAATGCAGCACATCGGCCTCAAAGTTCAGCTGTTACTTACTCCTTGGCTCTTTGCTCCTGTTGAGACCTTCTGGAAACAAAATAAAATCTTTCAACACAGGGAAACTGAAATTTGATCCTCAATAAAGTTCACATTTCATCAAATGGGTACTGATATTTTAGAGGTGCTGGTAGGATGGACTGTGAAATGTTTGGGCAGAGCCAGGCTAGAAGTTTCCACCTCTGTCCAGTCTTTATGCTAAGCTAAGCTATCAAGCTGCTGCACCTAGCATCCTATTTTCTGTCTCAGAAACTGAGACAAAGAGATTTCACCACTTTCTTTCTGTAGTTTGGGCCTTCAGTCCAACCAATGATAATGACATATTTCACTAAACAAAACTCCAGGAATAAACTAAATGACCATTTGTTTGACATGGTTTCAGATTTACTTGATTTGACAGGTGGTTTCAACTCCTCGCTATCCGGCCGGCTTGTGTCCACGTGGACCAGGAGGTGTGTGAGATGTCTCACTCTGGAGTTGAAGATAGCCGCCCGGCTCTTACAACGGCGGGCCAACTCGCTGTTATCCAGATACTCACTGAGCAGCCAAGACAGAGGACTGGCCACTGAGGATTCTGGGTAGATAGAGAGGTGAAAGTGTGAGCTGTACTGCAACCTTTGTGAGGACAAAATAAGTTTTAAACCATCATAATGAGGACATTTCTGCTCTGTATGGACATTTCACACAAAAATACAAAGCGAGTGTGTGTGTACCAGACAGTGTGATGCTGTGGACAATGGGAGTGATCAGAGCCTCCCAGCAGGTTCGACCAAGAGCTTCAGCTGCCTCGGCGTCCGGAAGGAAACGATCTGCAAACATCTGCTCGTGTCTCAGAGCGCTGTTCAGCCTGAACACACACACACACACACACAGTTTACAGAAGATTTCAAAATCAGAGGTCTTCACAGGTCAATAGCATCTGGGTCAGGCCAAGTCAGGCTGGTTTGGCCGCCGTCAGATCTGGCCTCCATGTTTCAGACTTAATTTAGGTTTTGTCATCTAAAGTTCTGGACCTGCAAAAATGTCTAATACCACAGTACTGTTACTAGTTATAAGACTAGTAGGCAAGTTCTATTCAGTGGGCAGCAGTAACAGTAGTACTCCTACCAACTGAACTGCAGTAACACCAGCAGTATAAACACTATAACTATAGTCTTCATACTTGTTGAAGAGCTGCAGCAGCTGCGTCCTGTCCTCCATCACCTCCTGACACCAGGTGTGGGCCTTGGTGCTATAGAACAGGTAGGTCCGACAGCACAGCTGCTCCTTAAACACCGGCCAGAAGGTCGGCTTCGGACCCAGAACCTCGAACCCATGGACCCGAGTGTCAATACCACCCTGTTACAGAGGCAGAAGGGGGTCAGGGGCTCTGACAGGATGACCTTCACCTGATACAAACAGCTGGGGTCAGGGTCTCACTTGCTGGCATCTCTTGATCCTGATCTGGATGATGGACCAAAACCTGGTCATGTTCTCCAGCAGAACCACACGACTGGCCGATGGCGTCACGTTCACCTGCACAGACAAACGCACCATCGCCTTAAATATCCTGTACAACCCTGTGGGACTGTTGAAAAGGAAAATATAACAGAGAACATCATGTAACTATAAATATGAAAGTGAAGTCTGTGCCCTAACGACACCAGTGGTGGGCGTCTGAGTTGGCAACTCATTCGAGTTGTACTCAAGTGCCACATAAACACACTTCCAACTTAATAAGGATAATCACCTTTATTGGCCAAGTATGTTACACACAAGGAATTTGTTTCCGGTACAGAACCGAGGCAGCCATTTGCGGCGCCGACTCAACCAATGGCTCTAACAATCGAGGGCAACGAGGGGGGTTCAGTGTCTTGCCCAAGGACACTTCAACATGTGGACTACAGGCACAGAGATTCGAACCTTCAACCTTCCAGTTGGGAGACGACTGCTCTACCCACTGCACTGTCGCCTCCCCCACTTGATGTGCAACTCGTACGTGAATGACTCCAGACTTGTGAACACTTTCAGCATCTCTCTAAGAGGAAAGTTTTGGTTTTACAACCCTTTGTAGTCCTTTAACATCACAATGCACACCTGCCAGCTACAGAATGTCTGCTGAACAGAAAAGCTCCAGTAAAGAAGGTAAAAAAAACATAAAAGACAGCAGGTCGACCACATTCATCCTGAAAACCACCCCAGAGGTCAGTGCTGCAGACACCCTGTAAGCTAGCTATGTTAGCTTGGCATTAGCACAAAGTCATGTTGATGTCAGTGCTGGTGCTGTAATGTCAGGTGTGGCTTGTGTTGGCCTCCTCTGCATCTTTGTAAGGTTCAGGGTGACATGCCTCGAGTAGGCATCCATATTTACCTGCAGTTCACAGAACTCTGCAAAATAAACGTTAGGTTCTGTGGTGGCTCAGAGGGGCACAGCAGCACCAGTGAACCTTTTGTATTATTCAAGTGACAGATCGGACATCTGAGAGCTGCAGGGTCTGAGTTGTAGGTAGCATCTGTTCTACTTAAAAATACGTCAAAACAGTTTTGTTTCTTCAAGTTTCAATTCAGCCTCCATGTTTACAGGGTATTTGTGAACATCTCAGAAACACCCTCTCCAGAAGTCTGCAGGAAGTCCACATGAGGCACTTGTGGACTTGAATTGTAGATTTGGAGATAAGTCCAGGCGCTTGGCTTCTTTCTACACAAACCAAGCATGCCTCCATCAGGATAGGGGGGACGCTCACCGTGTTGAGCTCAGTGTTGATGTTGGTGGGGTCGTCTCCCCCCAGAACCAGGATCCGGGCTGGCATGTAGCTTGAGTCCTCGCTGGCCACCAGGATGGCCAGTTGTCTGTCAGGAGCACAGCAGAGGGTGATGAGTCACCCGTCACACTCTCAGTAACAGTGTCAGCACTGTGAACAGCGTTACCTGATCACCACGCCTTTGTGCATGTAGATGTTGATGAAGTGCGAGCCCGTGCAGCCGTTGGACTCCCAGTAGGTTTTGGGGTTCTTGTCTGTCAGTTTGTTTGCTCGATGGTGATTGGACGAAACCTCCACCTTCTCCCAGCACTTGTCCTCCTTCAGCTCCACACTGGAACCTGAACACAACTCCAGTTACACCAGTAGGGATGATTTACAAATACAGAGTGCTGGATGTAATGATTAAGATTTGCATTTGTGTTGATGTTTGGATAGTCTGCATTAATAAATGTAGTTTTTTTTTATTCTGCCATCTTATTTGCATTAGTTATTATCAGTGTTAGCGTTGTGCAGATAGTAATTAGCGAGGAGATAAATCTGGTGCAAATTTATTTCTATTTACATCCTTCACTTGCAAAGTTCTCATTAAGTCATGTCATTCAAACAGAAAACACTACATGTACTTTGAACAGACCCTGGCAGAGATTCCTGAGGAACACATCAAAAAAGGGGATGTTGATTGGTTGATGGCTGCGGCGATGCTCCTCGATCTGACCCAACACCATCTGACAGGAAACAGGAAGTCATCCAAGTAAGACCTCACTGAAAGCACCGTTTGTTGTGTGGCCAGAGTGCAACGGTCTTCACAAGTCATTTCAGAGTTTCTTCATCACTTCAGACTGATATGGCTTTACCTTAAACGTGCATTAACTCATTGTCTGATAACCCCAGTGGCAGTGGGACAGAACGTGGTGTCTCTCAGCTACCTCCATGGCTGTTTGACATGACTACTGAAGCGTCCTGTCCCATTGTCACTGGGGTTTTCAGGCAATGTGGAAAATCTTAGTTAAAAATTCTCTTTACCCCGAAAGTCTATGGATAAAACTACAAATGTCTCTGAACAGGTTCCACTGTGCAGCAGTAATTTCACTTTCTTTCACTGAACATGATGGTTAAAAATATCTACTGAACAAATATTAGAGATTAGAAGCTTTGGTGGGTCTCCAAGTCTCCACTGGTTTCCACTTGGATGACCTGGTTTCAGGGTGCTGGCACCGTCTAACACCCCCCGTCCCTGTCAGTGGTTTACCTGGATGCACCCTGCCAGCACACTGGTGGTCATCTTCTTGTAGAGGCTGGCGTATTTCTCACAGTCGGTTATGAGGTCTCGGAGCTCAGTGACCAGCAGGAGGTTGGTGCTGTGTTTGTCCAACGCTTTTACCAGAGCCTCTTTGGTCCCCAGACGACACATCACCACCGCATAATCTTTGTTCAGGGATGCCAAGCGGTACAGAAAGCGGATGAACAGCTGGACCACCTGTAGGACCAGTCACAGAAGGATAATGTACATCAGCAGGTGGGTATGTTTGTTTCCTCTTGGCCTGGGAGATGTGTGTGCTGACCTCTCTGTCGTTGATGAAAGCTGTCATGGAGGACAGGCAGGGCTCGATGCTCTCGTGCCATGGCAGCACATCCTCCTGGTAGTTATCCAGGAACTTGTTCAGGATCCTGCAGGAACAGACAGCCAGTTAGAACAGCTCCACAATATCATGTGGTCGGGGGAGTAGGGTCATAGGCTATCAGTACCTCAGGATGGAGAGCTGGACGGCCCGGTCTGCTCGGTGCTGCTCCATCAGACGGACCAGATCCTGGTACGTGTCACGACTGTGAGTCACCTGAACAATCAAGCATTGGTATTCAACCACTGAATACAGGCAGGCACCTGCCCTGTCCATTCACCTGTTTAGTTTTCAGTGAGAGCAGCGGGTCAGAGTTTGGATCATCTCACTTTTTCTGCTGTAGAAATGCAGCAACTGTAACCACAGCTTTGAGCCAGAGCACGTCACTGTGAGGCCATCTCTCTTAAAACAAAATTTTTCATCATAGTTCATACAGAACTGGTTTAGTGGTTTCAGCACTAAAGATTTTACTACAGGCCCCATATTCTCTTTTTATGCCAAACATAATAATATAGCATAATATCCTTGTTTGTGGCTCAGTAACTTTGATTCCTTAACCTGTATACTCATTCTGACTTTCTGGGTGGAAACGTCGTTTTTCTTTTCAAACAAGAGGTGTGACTGGAATCTAAAAGATATAAGAACAAACCTCTTTATTGTGGATACATTATTGAAAAGGGCTGTGCACAACAGTAGGGGAGTCTGGTCAGCAGTTCTTCCTACAGCAGCTCCACAAGGTCGCATGCCATGTTGGGTATGTTAATGAAAAGATCAAGCGCGCGCGCGTGTGTGTGTGTGTGTGTGTGTGTGCGTGGGGGCGCACGCGCACCTGACTGCGTTCCTCCTCCAGTTGTGAGGCGTCATCACACAGCAGCTGCTCCAGAGTCTGGATCACCTCCTTAGTGGCCGTCAGCTCCTTCAGACTCACTACCAACATCTGTAACTCTGTGTCCCTAAAGTCCAGCTGCTCACGACACTCTGCGGGAGGAGGTGTACACAAACAACATGACAAGTGGATGAAACACAGCAGCTGTACACACTGAGCTACAGCCTTTATTCACTGCCCCTGCAGATCAGATATAAACACACAGTGAAACATGGGCAGTGGCAGAACAAGCTTCAGTGTTTAGACAAACTGCATCCATTTCTAAATTATCAGACGATCACTGCTCAGTGTCACTACTAACATCTCGTTACTTTGCTTAACAATCAGACATTACTTGAGGATGGGTGAATTCTGTCTGACAAAGATACTATAAAATTGTTCAGAATATGAAAAATAATCATATGTAGTGAAACAGGGTGCTTTCACTTTCACACAGAGCTTCACAGCACATGCTGTTAACCATCTCTTCAACAGGGTAGGGACACAGTGTAGCTAACTGGTTACAGCTGTGTCACATGTAGGGCTGAAACAACTAATCGATTAGAAAAGCAGGTGCTTCTTCTTCTCTCGGCTGTTCCCATTAGGGGTCACCACAGCGAATCATCTGTTTCCACCTAACTCTATCCTCAGCATCCTCTACTCTCACCCCAGTTAACTTCATGTCCTCTTTTAGCACATCCATATATCTCCTCTTTGGCCTTCCTCTTGACCTCTTGCCTGGCAGCTCCATCTCCAACATCCTTCTACCAATATAACCACTATCCCTCCTCTGCACATGTCCAAACCATCTCAATCTGGCCTCTCTGACCTTGTCCCCAAAACAGCCGACCTGAGCTGTCCCTCTGATGTGCTCATTCCTAATCCTGTCCATCCTGGTCACTCCTAAAGAGAACCTCAACATCCTCATCTCTGCTACCTCCATCTCTGCCTCTTGTCTTTTCCTCACTGCTACAGTCTCTAACCCATACAGCATAGCTGGTCTCACTACTGTCTTGTACACCTTTCCTTGGATTCTTGCTGACACTCTTCTGTCACACAACACTCCTGACACCTTTCTCCACCCACTCCAACCCGCCTGCACTCGCCTCTTCACCGTGCTAATGAATATAATTGTCAATTAGATAGGTCGATTTATGTAACTGTGCGAGGCAGTGCAGGGCGACTACATCACTGACTTGAATCCAAACCATAGACTATATACCATGGAAGATGTGACAGCTCCCAAAAGTGAAGTCACCATGACTTCCAGATCACAGTTTGTTGTGTGAGATTGTCTGCGGATGTTATCGTTCAATGTTTGTCCAAGCATTGAGGCACTGTATATGGAGTTAGAAGCAAACATATGGAAACTGGCCCCATCCCACAATAGTGAGGAATCCTTTAAAACAATTCTGGGATCTGGATGATGATCTGAATCAGCAACAGAATCTAATGGACTGTTCTGTGTGCCATAATCTTCCAAACCCATTCATTACTTTTTGAGTTATGCTGCAAACAAACACAGGTTAACAGTAGTATAATAGGTAATATCAGGTAGTTGCAGCCTGGTCAGGTGGTTTCCTGTGTCGCACCTTTGCTCTCCAGCTTGTGCACCATGGAGATATGGTTGAGGGCAACGATGGCCAGCATGGTCTCAGTTCTGGACAGCGTCAAACACTTTTTGAGGATAGCGGTGACGTCGCAGGCCACCAGCTGCTCTGCCAGGCTCTTGTGGTTGGAGATAAGCATGATGATGACCGCCAGGCCGTTACGCACCGACAGTGTGCAGCTGCACAGAAGATCAATACACAGGAATCAGAGCAGAAAAACCTGAACCTAGGACGGTCACTTATCCATTATAAACACACTAAAGGTCAAGAGTTTCAGGTCACCTCCATGTTTCCAGTTATGAGTGTAGTCCAACAGGTAGACACACCCATGTTGTTCTTTCTACAACTGAAATGGGACAGACAGCACTGAAGGTGAAGAAGGTCCCACAGATGTGTTGCACCTGTAGGTTGCTTTGCTTTCACTGTTGATCTGGAAAGCTTGGACACTGTGCTGTTGTTCCACCGTTTGTCCTGCCCTCCTCCACACTCTGGAGGTGCTTGTGGCTCCTTCCCCTGCTACAGGGTGAAAACCTGAGAAGCTCTGACTTCCTGTGTTCATGGCCTTTTTCCAAGTGATGTTTCAGAGGGTGCAGTGACACAGTATTGTCCAACACTGCCTCTGTACAGTCAGAATCTGTTGTTGTGGGTCACCAGCCACAGTTGGGACAGTGTAGAAATAGTTTGCATCAGTTGTCAAGGCTTCAATT